ATTAAGAGCACTTGTGTGAAGCAAAAAAACTACTGATTCTTTTTTTCTTTTTCTTTTTTTTAAATACGAGTTCGTTTTCCTGTTTTCTTTGTGACACTGAACACTTGAACAGTTTGCGTAAAAACAATTGTGGTCTTTCAAACATTTATTCTGTAGTTGAACATGAAGCTATAACATTTTTCTTTTTTTGTAACTGTTTTGTCTCTGATGCTTTTTGAAATTTCCTCATTTTTTGTTTGCAATTTTGTCATTTGTGAAAACAAAAAAGTTTATATTTCATTTTTCTTTTTTGTAGCTCTGTTGGATCCATTTATTCTCATGTTATGAGCTGTGTGTGCGCGTGTGTGTGTGTGTGTGCGCTCACATGCTTCAAATATCAACTGTGTAACTCCAGAGTATTTTTTTTTAATGTTGGGGGAAAAACATCATACATTACAGAGTGCCTTAAGCTATTAAATCTTGAATTTGTGCATATATGGCTGCTGTGCCTTAAATTGTTTTGTTTTTTGTTGTTGTTGTGTGTTCAGTTTTTAAAAATACGGTTTACTTTTGTTTTTCTTTAAATAGTTTACTAAATACTGCTGGGATGCAACGGTTGTAAAAAAAACAAACAAACAAAAACTGCATCTCGCCCAGTCACTCTGTCTATGCTTTGTGTACAAGCCATAAATAAAACTGTTATCTTTCATTCTGAGTGTACAGTCAGCAGTTACCACACTTTATTGTGTTACTATTTATTGATGCCAACATTTCTGCTTTAAGAAGATGAATTATATTAGACAATAATGAAGGAAATATTGAAATGGCAGCAGATGAATAAATTCTCCAAAGTGGCCGATCTAATAAGTGACACCATCATCATAACAAGGTGACTTTTGATGTGCTGACGCTCACAGATCTCAGGCTCGCTGTCAGGGGAGGATTTCTTGATCCGTTTTGGCTGCGATGTGCCAGCTTGGAGACGAGCCTGAGGCAGACTGCTTAGGTTTCCCTGGCAGTTTTGTGATCTGTTCTTTTTATTTAAAACCTGGACAAAAACAAATACAGTTCAAAATAAAATCCAGTACTCAAAACAAGTCATGAGTATATCGAGGGGGAGAGCTTAGGTTTAGTAGTTTGGAGACAAAGTTAGAGAAGAAAGACTGAGATGGTTTGTGCAGAAAGAAAATTGGATATGCTGAATAGAAGGGAAAAGAAGAACACCACAGAGGATGTTCATGTATAGAGTGAAGGAGGACATGCAGAGGGTTGGTGTGATAGAGGATGCTATAGATGCTAGAGATAGGGTGAAATGGAGACAGATAATCTGCTGTGGTGACCCCTAAAGGGAGCAGCTGAAAAAAGAAAACGACTTAAACTTCGTTATACCTTAGTTATACCTGACTACTACCATGTTGAACCCCCCTTTTTTGCCAACAGAACTGCCTTAAGTCTTCATTGCATGGATTTAACAAGGTGCTAGGAGCATATTTGGTCCATGTTAACATGATAGCATCACACAGAACATGGTGCATTATCCTGCTGCAAATAGCCATCAGAAAATGCGGGTACACTGTAGTCATAAAGGGATGGACACAGTTGGCAACAATATTCAGACAGGCTGTGGCATTTTAATGATAGTTGGTACAAAGAAGCCCAAAGTGTGCCAAGATTTTTTTTCCTTTTGTTGATGCAAAATCCTGACCCTACCAAGTGAATGTAACAATATAAATTGACTGATTTTGCATGTTTTCTTTTTTTTAGATAAATTATTGTCAAATTTCGGTGACTGTGCAATTTGTAGCCTCAGTTTCCTGTTCTTAGCAGACACGAGTGGCACAGGATGTGGTTTTCTTTAGCCCATCTGCCTCAAGGCTTATCGTTTTCAGAGGCTCTTCTGCATACCTTGGTGGTAACAAGCAGATTTTTGAGTCACTGTTACCTTCCTGTCAGCTTGAGGCAGTCTGGCTTGTTCCTTGAGCTTTAGCATCAACAACTGCCGCTCAGGTTTTATCACTATTCTCTGTAAACCTTAAAGATTGCATATCCCAGCAGACCAGCAGTTTCTAAAATACTCAGACCACCCACGTTCCCAAATCTGATGCTCAGTTTGAACATCTGCAGGTTTTCCTGCCCATGAGCTGCTGCCATCATGACTGGCTGATCATATATTTGCATTAATGAGCAGCTGAGCAGTGTAGCTGACAAAGTGTTCGGTGAGTGATCATGTTAGTGTCTTACCTCTGGACTATTGTTTCTGGTGTGTTTTCAGGAACTGCTCTATCTGGGATCCTTTGGTCCTGTTAGCGTACGAGTTGAAGACTTGCCGGCATGAAAAATTCACCTTCTCACATATTCGGATGTGCTTCTCTAATCTTTCACTCGCAAACTTTCTGTTGCAGACTTTGCAAGGAAAAAGCTGGAGGCTGACTTCTGTGCTCTCCATGAGCACGAGCTCTCCCTGTTGTGGTCCACTCCATTGTGAAGGTCTAGATGGAAGAGTCGAATCCCAGAGCTGATTTCCTCCTGCCCCTCTGTGGTTTCCTGTATAAGGAGTTTTCTGCAGATTCACCTGAGGCACATCACTGTACTTTATTTTTTCTATTTCTCCACCAGTACCACAATCTGTCCCATCTCCTCGTTTTCCTCTGGTATGCTCTTTCACATTGTGCCATCTTGATTTGTTCAGTTCTCCACTCACTTCTTGTTTGCTGGATATGACCTTAGAAGTGCCTTTATTTCCTTTCCTGTTAGGCTGAATAGTTTCTGAATCGTCCTGCTGTTCTTCCTTTGTAGTCCTCATTCTGTCCTCAGTCCTCTGATCTTGTTTGAGCCTAACTTGCTTAAAATCATCATACCTTCTGTTCTCCATCATTTTATCTGTGCCTCGTGCTAGCTCTCTAAACTGGAGCTCAGACATTCTGGTATTAGTTTGAGCTTCTCGCACCTGAGCTCGTCCTCTGTTGTGTCCCTCCTCCCTACTCGTTTTCTCATTACCTCCAGCATAGTCAGCGCTGGCCCTCTGGAGCTTTTGTCTTATTTTTAATTCAACTTTCAAGAGCTTCTCCTGCAGCATGAGCTGTTTTGCATGGATTGCTTTGGTCATCTGCAGCTCTTCACTGGGCAGTCTGTCTGACAGTGAGGCTACGGTGGTCTCTGTGATGTCATGTGAATGATGCTCCTGGGGTAACAAAGGGGCTACTGGTTGAGTAGAAACTGTGATGTTTTCAAAATCATCCAAATCGAGTGAAACCTGTGGCCTGCTAGGTCTTCTATGGCTCACAGGCTTGTTTGGAAATGGATGATTTACTGCATCTGCTTTCCTATTAGGCACGCCACGTCTTTCCCCTGCAAAGTTGTGGTGCCCCTGAGGAGTGTCTCTTCTTCTATGTGTGTTCATGACTTCATCTGTTGTTACAGATCATAAGCTGTTGTTCCACAGATTCAAAGATACCTGAATCCACTATATGGGGTCCTTTTATTGTATAATTTCTGTGCAAAAAGCAAGCAGAAAAGGGAAAGGGTAAGGCTTGTACAATATCACTGCCCCAATTCCAAAAAAGTTGATGTATAAAAGCTTATTTAAAAACAGGATGTAGTAATTATCTGAAAATCTCATAAACCCACATTTTAGTCACAACAGATCATAGAAAGCATATGACATGTTTGAACTGAGATAATGTTATCAAATAGCAGTTTTACTGTTTCATAAAAAAATATTTTCGCATTTCTGAAAAAGTTGGGATGAGGCAACAAAAAGTCGGAAAAGTAAGTAAAAAAGAAATTCTTGAAAAACATTTTTTAGTTCATTAGATTTATCTGCAAAAGCTCAGTAACACCACTGGGTATAAAAAGATTTTAGAGAGGCAGGCTTTCTCAGAAGTAGCGGTGGGCAGAGGTTCACCAATCTGGAAAGAAACTGTGTCTGCATTTGAAACCTTTCAATATCATATCATATACAGTACATATTATCATCAAAAGATGCAGAGAATTTGGGGGAAATCTGGGGAAAAAATAGAGGGACCATTACGCTTGTTATCAATTCCAATTTTTAACAGCTTTCAGCTCTGATGGTATGGGGGTACATTTATGCCTATGCAATTGGCAGCTTGCACATTTGAAAAGGCTCCATGCTCAACCCTGAAAGGTACATACAGGCTTTATAGCAATGTATGCTTCTCCATGTGGTTCTTTTGGAAGGAAGGCCTTGCATATTTCCAAAAGATGATGCTAAACCACATACTGCATCTATTACAGCAGTACTGCATCCATGAGCTGCCAAACTGGTCTGCCTGCAGCTTGGACCTTTCACCAAATGAAAATATTTAGCACATCATGAATTGAAAAAGCACCTCGAATCTTAAACGAGTGAAGAATGGGATGACAGCCAGCTTCTCCCAAAATTTCAGCAGCTCTAAAGAAATGTTTCTGCCATCACCTTTATTAAATGTTTCTTTTAGTCTAGGACTAGGTTTAATCCATGCTTGTAAAACAGGCTATAAATGCAGGGGGGAAAAAACTCAAGTACAAAGGTAATTAACGCACTGCTTTAAAAATATCTGTGTTACAGTTCAGTTTATCAACAGATATTTAGGCTTAATTTGGCGCATGGTGAGATGGTCAAATGCTTCAGAAAGAGACAAGCATGTTTATTTATTTATTTTTATTAAAGTGTTTTTAACGGCACAAGATAGGTTTTGTTAACTTTTTAACAACAAAGACCATAAATGTGCGCTCGACTAATAATTCAAAAAATACCGATATGTTCATGTCTTTGTCTGCAATAACATTTATTAGATAAAAAATAGAATCCAGTTTCAGAAAACTCTCATAAATATAATCTGCTATCTACTTACCAGCATACCGATGTATATTTTCCTTAAAAATCCTGTCCTTCCAGCGTTTACATTTGTTGCCTAGATACAAAGCTTCTCGGTTGTTTTCTGATTGGTCCGGTAAACAAACACCACTTCCTGTAATCCTCTGTTCCAGCCCAGTAGGTGGCGATAATGCAATTAGGAACTCAAAGAAGAAGAGGAAGAAGAAGTGGCGTCTCGTATGTTTTGAATTTGCTGTAATTCGGAACTGGGTCGGTGTTTCACGGCTTCTGGATAAAATTCAGGTAAATTAAATGATAGCGACTTTTTGCGCAGTAAAGTAGCAGTAATACTAAGCTAGGTGTGCTATGTATTATTTATGTTGGCATAGCTTCAGTCACCTGTGATTACAAATCACCTTTAAGCATTAAAGGACTGCCTTTTTCTTCTTCTTTTTTAAGATCCGTTATGGCCGATGAAGACCTAATTTCAGTGGATTATGAGATTTTTGGCAGAGTGCAAGGTGTATTTTTTCGGAAATACACGCAGGTGAGTTTGACATTGTCCCTGTATTCCTATGATTACCATTTTCTTACTATTATGACATCTCTTTTGCCCTCCACAATCTTAATAATAATAATAATAATAATAATAATAATAATAATAATAATAATAATAATAATCCCTTTTGCGTTTTTTTTTCTTTCAGGCAGAAGGGAAGAAACTTGGCCTTGTTGGCTGGGTCCAAAACACACCAGCAGGAACAGTGCAAGGGCAGCTACAAGGCCCACGCAAAAAGGTGAAGGAAATGCAAGAATGGCTGAGATCCACTGGGAGCCCCAAGTCACACATAACCAAGGCAGAGTTCAAGAATGAGAAAGAAGTTGACAGCCTAGAACATTCATCTTTCAACGTAGTAAAATAACTGTGCCTTTAATATTAACTTATGCAGATGTTTTATTTATTTAGTCTTTTTTTTGTTTTTACTGGTTGGAATTTAACATTTAAACTGAACGGGAGGAAGAGGTGTACTGCATTCGTTTGATCTCCTAAATGTTCACAGAATATGTAACAACATTAATAAATGGGAACTTCCTTCATTGGGACTCACATTGTCTGATTTTATTGCAATAACAGCAGTGAAGGAATATTCAACTCAGTCAGCTTTAACATGCCTGGTTGTGAAGGACCTATACTCTGCATTTAAAGTGGTTAGCGGAGGTGGCTACATTGTTCAAATTTTTTTTTATTTTTTAGAAACCTTTAACAAAATTATATTTGTTCTCATGGTCATGCAAACAGGCACATGTGTGTGCTTGCCTGTTTTCAAAAGAAAGCTGTAATAATAACACCTTTTCAGGGTTCATCAAAAGCTCTTAAAGACTATTTACGCATAAGGTAACATAAACTATTTTGCTAAATTATCAAGATACTGATACAAGCTCAGTTATTCCAAGGACAAACACCCTGATATTGTTGGGTCTTCTGGTTTAAGATAACAGGTAAACGCCACACATGCCAATAAAGTGGGTAGGTCAGCAAATAATTTGACTTCATGTTGGTATGAAAAACACAGGTGTATCTGATGTGTCTGTGCAGACTTACTGGCACACTTGTACACAAACGGGGCATTTAAAGTTATTAATAAAATGTGTTTTTCCACTGTAACTTGATGTATCGAGACATGTTAGGATGATGTTGCAGGCCTGGCCACTCTTGAGTTTGCTTGAGTTTTATCCATATCGAGGTATACAGTGGGCAAGCTAACTGAGGGAGATGTGACTGAAATTGTTTTGTTGACTTCTTAACTGCAGAAAGGAAAACTGACTGGGTGTATAAGCACATTGAACAGCACACTCCGTACAGGAGGTGGCGGTATGCAGTAAAAGCAGGCTAACTTACGAAAGAAGATGTCTGGTAAACATGGCACATTCAAGTCAACGCGGTGATCGAAATTTTCCAGTAAAGCTCCGAATTCCCAGCTACAAAGACGCAAGTGTAAGCAATCGAAAGGGGTGACTATGACAAACTGTAGACATTAATATTAGCATTGTATATAGCTGAAGTCATTAAGTCATACGGATAGAAGTTTCCGAGTCGACGCGAACGCAGCAGTAAATTCAACCACACCAGAAGGTGGCAGTATTATAATATTAGCCAGTTTTAAGCGGTTATAGGCCTGTGTTTTTGTTTCACGTTGACTGTACACAACAGCTGAGGTATTTGAGGGCATGGTTTTATTAAGCTAAATATTTTATCATATTTAATGAAATATGAAAGAGGGTTTTACTTCAAAATGTGTCGCTGTCAAAAAGTCCCCTTTGGAATTAGCTAGCATTAACTACTTAGCAACGGTTAACTAACTTCTTACTTTGCGGTCGCCGGTACAGGTGATAGACCACAGATACAAAGAGAACTGAATTTAATTCCCATTATGATTAAGTGTTTACCCAAAGAGGTTCAGGGGAAGCTTCGCTCCGGTGTCGCTATCCCCTCGCTTCAGCAGTGTGTGGAGGAGCTAATTTTAAACAGCATCGATGCCGGGGCGACCTGTGTGGGAGTCCGAATGGACATGGAGGCATTTAAAATTCAGGTGATCGATAACGGTGCTGGGATGAGCGCCGAGGACATGGCCTGTGTTGGGAATAGATACCACACAAGTAAATGCACTTCTGTGGCGGACCTGGACAACCTCAGGTGGTATGGTTTCAGAGGGGAAGCCTTGGCGAGTTTAGTTTCTTTAGCCACACTTGTTGAAATCTCCTCCCGGACCAGATCATCTGTAAAAACACACGTTAAAATATTCAAGGAGGGGAAGGGCTTGGAGGTCTTTGAAGCAGAGGCTGCTCGACCCTCAGCGGGCACAACTGTCATCATTTGTAACTTCTTCCACAACATGCCTGTCCGAAGGAAGAGGGTTGATGCCGTCCTGGAGGGTGAGAGGATCAGGCACAGAGTGGAAGCTATTTCCTTGATGCACCCCTCTGTTTCCTTCACCCTGAAGAATGACTGCACAGGAGCCATGATGGTGCAGCTCCCGAAAGCAAGAAACACTTATCACAGGTTTGTTCAGATACATAATCTCGGGCGAGCAGAGAAGCTGGGAGAAATCAGCCACACATACAAACAGTTTGAAGTGATGGGTTACATTGGCAGAGAGGGCCACTACAACAACAGCTTACAGTTCCTGTATGTGAATGAAAGACTGCTGTTGAAAACACGTATTCACAAGCTGCTGAATGTTCTCCTGCGCCGACTGACCAGTTCAAACCAGAAGAATGACAGTCCAGATGGGCAGTCTGTCATCAGAAGTCCAAAGCACAAGCGAAGCCAAGATCTGTATGGAGTGTATATCATCAATATTAAATGCTCTTACTCGGAGTATGACATTTCCCTCGAGCCTGCCAAAACTCTAATAGAGTTCAAAGACTGGGATGGCATTTTGCTCTGTGTTGAAGAAGCAGTGAAAGCTTTCCTGAGGAGGGAGAACTTAGTGGCTGTCATTACTCAAGACGACTTGGACTATGCATCTCCAAGAGTGTTTGGAACTGGCAAAACAGAACCAGAAGAGAACGGTGACAAAGGTGGCCAAACAGCTACCACTATTTCTACAATGGACTGTAGCGTTGGCACGAGACTGGCATCTGAATCTGTTCATCGTAATCACACAGGTGACAGTGTTTCTAAAGATGGTGTTTGCCTGGAGGCTAGATCGGATAAAAGTGAACAACCAGGCCAGCAAAAGATAAGTACAAATGAGTTGCAAAATGTACACAGTGAAAAATGTTTAAACAATGCATGTAGCGATGAGCTGATGTCTGATCTGGCTACAGTGGAACCTTTATCTTATAAAATTAATAAAGAAGTGGAGCCCGCATATAGTGAAGCTGGGGAAGGTTCTAATATTTTGCATATTTCAAGAGAGCTACTTTTAAAAGAAGGAGATGACAGCTTCATTCAACAAGCCCAGCCTGCTTTAAACTACACTGAGAGAATAGTACCTGACTGTCAGGATACAAGCTGCCATGCACAGACTTTAGTAAGTAAGAGAAAGATCAGATTGTCTGATCAATATATTCAAGAGCGTCTGCAGAGTTGGGACCTTTTGCAAAACAATAGGCCAGTATTTCAGGAGGAAAGTTTAACAGTAAAATCTGAAGAAAAAGCTTCTGTTGCGAAACGCAAAATCTCACTAGACACAAGCAGATCTTCTCAGAAACAATACAGAGACTCTTCCTCTGTTGTCCCCTCAAAGATTTCCAAGATAATTTCATGCCATAAATTATCTGGATCTCTTGACAAGTTTCGACGAACGTGTGTTAAATCTGGTGAACTCGAATCACAGTTACCCAAGGCTCATTTGAAGAACGACACTCCTCAGACAGACCGCGTTGTTTTGAATACATCAATTTTCCAGGAAGTTCAACAAGAAGATGAGATGCAGGACAAAGATGAGGCAAAGAACAGCCTCCAAAGCCCGCCAACTCTCTCTATTTTCACTAAGATAAAACCAGAATCAGCACAGAACCAAGGTAAAAAATCTTTGGCAGCTAAACTCCGTCATTTGAAACAACATGGGACAGATGATTCAGAGGTATCATTGGATTTTTCCAGAAACATCTCAAAGGATACTATCTGTGTCAGTACTGGAATTGACGGTAACCAAGATAGCAATGAGATTCCCTGTGACCCTGAGTTCAACATGAGGCCAGCCTCAGGTTGCATTTTAAACCCTGAACTTGCTATGAATGAAGAGGCTATCACATCGAGCGACTGGCTCCAGCAGTACGACGCATCTGTCGGAAAGACGGTTTATGTGAACAGAGTGACCGGGCTCAGCAAATATGAGGTCTCAGCTATGGAGGAAACTCAAGTGCGCTGCACGTCTGATGTCACCAATATAGCAGTTAGTGTCATTTCTGAAATGGGTAAGTTAGCACACAAAATTGCACATATGCACATTAATACAGATAATTTGTTTACTGTTTTAATGCATGCCGTCATGTCCATGTAGGGATGGAATACAGGTGTTACCCATTTCAGGTGGATCTAGTGTTGCCATTCCTGCCTAAATCCAGACCAGAAAGGGTGATTAGATCAGGGCCTGATTGTAGAGGTACCTCACAGATTTATAAGCGTGTAGGCTGTAAGGTCATGACCTCAGATAATGTACAAAATGCAGTTGATAATTTGCAGCCTTTTATTATCTCGTCTTTACAGGTGATGTTGGTGAAAGCTCAAACTCGCTTTTTTCATTGTACTCAAAATGGAATAATCCCGTGTTTGTCCGCCCTCCAATGGTAATGAAAACACATTTTTACTTTGTATTAACTCGATTTAGTAATGACTTGAACTGATTGGCTCATAGCAAAACACAAAGTCAGATTTCACTTCGGTGGTTTTGTTTTTGATACTACATCATCCCTCCACAGGTCGGTGTGGATATTTCCAGTGGACAAAGTGACGGACTGGCCGTAAAGATCCACAACGTCCTTTTTCCATACCGCTTCTCTAAGTCCATGATTCACTCCATGAAGGCAAATTAATCTCTCAGCATTAGCCACTTTTTATTAGCAGTTTTACAAATTTCAGTAAAACGCTGTCATAAAGCTGTGATGCAATTCTCCTATAGGTTATTCATCAGGTGGATAAAAAGTTTCTTGCGTGCCTTATTAGTACTAAGGATGACGAGCTGGTGCAACACACTGAAACTAAAGGTGAAGTTAGAAACATTAAATCTTTGTCATTTATTGTTTTCTTGAGACATGTTTATTTATTTATTTGTACATTTTCAATTACAAAACAGGAAACCTGTTGGTGCTGGTAGATCAACATGCTGCACATGAAAGAGTGCGACTTGAAAATTTAATTGCAGGTAAAAAAAAAAGAAGAATTGAACAGTAGTTTAGTTTTGTTATTGAAACACTGATAATGCTGTTAATAGGTGCTTATTGTAATTCTGCAGTCATAGCTGTTTGTGCTGTCACAGATTCATATGCAGATGACCCAGATGTCCCAGGAGAGAGATGCCTGTGTACTTCAACCATTTTGCCACCTCTTGGGATCAGTGTAACAGAAGAGGAGATAAGGCTGCTTAGGTATGGAAATCTATTGGGTGTATTGGGCAACAAGCAAAGAGGGAAAGCCTGCAAAGACAGAATACATATAGTAAATATCTTCCAACACCCCTCATTTCTTCATATTTTGTTAGGAAAATGGGAAATGGGTGCAGTTGTTTATTGAAAACGTTCATGGAGTATATGAGGCAAAAACAGAGTTTGTAAAGTTCTGATAATATTTGGTGACCACTTTTATCCTTAAGAATGGCCTGAAGTCTTTTAAGCAAGCTTTTCTTTCTTTAAGTAGTCTTCAGGAAGGATTTTCCAGACTTATTGAAGGACGTTCTTTGGATGTTGGCTGCCTTTTGTTCTGTTCTCTGTCAAGATGGTCCCACACTGCTTCAGTAATGTTGTAGTCCTCTAGGGAGGCCGGTCCATGAATGATAGTGTTCCAGCATATATTTTTTTCTATCCTGGCATGTTTTTACTGTATTGGCAGTGTGTTTGGAGTCATTGTCATTCTGAAAAACAAAGTGCCTAGAGATACAATTTAATAAATGGTCAAGTATACTACTTTATTGTATTTTTTGCACCACATGCTTAAGCTTTGTAGACTAGCAGTAGAACATAGAGTTTGTGTTCAGATGTTATTTAGTTAGTACTCATAGACTGTTCTTGTATTTTCCTACAGGTCCTGTCAGCCACATCTAAGGAGTTTGGGCCTGGAAGTTCATTTTTCACGGGCAGCAGATCTAAAAGTGTTTGTCGGGAAAGTGCCATTGTGTTTTATGGAAAAAGAGAGTAATGAGCTGAGGCGAGGAAGACCATCTGTTATAAAGCCAATTGCTGAGGTAAAACTGTTTCACTGTTTTTGCTAAGTGAGGCTTTTACAAAGCTGTTCTCTGATATGTACCGCTTAATTTTATCTGACAGGAGTATCTTCGAGAGCAGATTGAGGTAAGCTAGATTTTTTTCTGTTTTCCTATGTACTAAAGTTCTGTGATGCACAATGGTATGTACTATTTGCTTTGGTTTGTCTCTTTTTTCATTCCCCAGCTACTCCGCTCAACAGGTAGAGTGAGAGGAACTTTGCCTCTCACTGTTCTGAAAGTGCTCGCCTCACTAGCATGCCACGGTAAAGACAATCAGCTTCTCTCAGGCCTTGAATATATTTTTTTCTGTGATTCTGAGCCTGAAATCTTTATGCTTGTTATTTTTATACATGCTTGCATTGAACAGGTGCCATCAAATTCAACGACACCCTAAGTAGAGATGAATGCCACAGCTTGGTGGCATCCTTGTCTGCCTGCCAGCTGCCCTTCCAGTGTGCTCATGGCCGTCCATCTATTGTTCCCCTCGTAGACGTCCTTCATTTGGACAAAGACCACACGGTACCAGAACACATTCCACATTTGAACTCTGGACTAAAAGTCAGATTCAAGGAAATGTCCAGTGCAATATTGTGATGATGACTAAGTATTGTTGTCCTTGCAGGAAGTCCAGAAACCCAACCTCCGAAAGTTGAGAAGAATGTATAAAGCATGGAAGCTATATGGGAATGCTTAAGGGTGTCTATTTTGTTTTTAAATGTGTTGTTTTGTTTCTAAGAAAAAAAAAAAGATTCATAACTTATTAAATGGTTCAGATATTCCTGTTTCTTTGCCCAAATTCTATGGCTCAAGCTTTTTTCTTGTAATCTAAAGCAACAGAAAGTCATAGTAAGATATATACAGCACTGTGAAAGCCTGATCGCCCTCTTACACACTACTTAGGTTTTTGCATATTTATCACACTTAATGTTTCAGATCATCAAACTAATTTTAATATTAGACAAAGATAATTCAACTAAATATAAAATGCTGTTTTCAATTAATTACTTTATATGTTGAGGGGGGGGGGAAGCTATCCAAACCTCTCTGGCCACATATAAAAAGGACTGTAAGTATAACGTATGTAACATGATGTGAGTAACAGTAAGTTTTGTTAGCTGTAGTAGTTTGGATTTTATCGTGTGGCGCTCATAATGTTATAAATGTCAGTGCTATGAAAATCCTTCACATCTTTGCTTCCACATGCGCATCATGTTCAGTTTAACAACTTTATTCTGGGAGGTTTCAGTTCCCACAAACATTTTTTGCCTATTATGTTACTTCACAAAAAAATTGCTGATAGCTCATTGAGATATGATTTATTTAAAATAATAGATATTACTATACGAAATTCTTATAATTAATTCATTCTTTTTGGCACAGACTCAACAAGGTGCTGGAAACATTCAAGATTTTTGACCATAGTGATATGACAGCATTACAAAGGTCATTTGAGTATGGGGACACGAGTGTCATGTTCAAGAAACCAGTGTAATATGATTTAAGCTTTGTGACATGGTGCATTAACGTTCTTGAATCAGCCACCAGGAGATGGTGCACTGTGGTCATAAAGGGATGATCATAATCAGTAACCGTACTCTGGTAGGCTGTGCCATTTAAATAATTCCCAGTTGGAGCAAAGGGGTACAAAGTGAATTAATAATAATTGGAGCGCTATGTTTAATTATCTTAAAATGTATAGCAGCTTTTGGGTGTCTTTGCAGGCCTCCTCGCCTTGCAGCAGCACATTCTTGCAGACATGTTCTAGAGTTGGGCGGCAGAGAGACTTGAAGCGAGAGCGCTGTCGGGTACAGTAGGCGCACAGCATCGACGCAGCGCTGCTCCTTTGTTGTGATTGGAGTATTGAGCAGCTGTGTTGCAGACCCCTTCTTCCCCCACAGTTCCGGGTCATGCCACGTGACTTGCCCGCCCCCACATGTCCCTCCCAAGTAAACAATTCAGCATCATTTCATTATGTCTGTGAACAATCCCTGATTCTTATCATCGGTGGGAAAAAAGCCAGAGCTCGACAACAGATGCCTGTCACACAGCTAAAACCTCCCAGCATAGTCCGCATGTTATCAATGTGAAATGGCGAATGGAGATGAGATGGGTTTTTGGATTCGGATAAATTATGGAGCTAAATATAAATGCGAGCTGCAGTGTGTATTTTAAAATGGTCGAGCAAAACATGTCCACTTGACCTTGGAATCAAATGAGGTTTTATTGAAGAGGAGCCGTTTCCCACCACGGCTCTATTTAACCTTTGACTAAATTGATACAGCACGGCGTTACGTTTTTATCGCCCAGGAAATGGTTACATAGGCATATTTATAAATAGACTCGCGTTTTTCATCCCATATTGCATTAATAAGAGGCCGATAGCCATTTTTGTGAATGGGAGAGAGAGAGGGAGGGGAGGGGGGGGTCTGGTCATCTTGCGGTGCCTAACTGGCGTAAATAAAAACAAACCAAAAGGGATAAAGTGTCAGATATCGCTCATGGAGTGCATATAATGGTGGATAAATGTCAACAGGATGGCCTTTTACTCCAAAATATGCCTATGTGGCTGTCAGTCTGACCCCCCCTCCGCGGATGGTACAGTCTTGGTTCATTCATAAAATTCTAGCAGAGCATAAAAGGAGGGGCTTGCATTCTAGTCGTCCAGTTACCAGGTAGACTATACCTGGAGAAAAGACCCGAGCTGCTCTTCCCCAGCGGAAGGCCACAGTCATATTTGTCATTATTCAGGACTCGTGTGTGTGCGTGTGTGTGATTTTGCTTTTCTTTCTTTTCTTTTTTCTTTTCTTTTTTTTCTCCTCGTGATGTATCAAAACAACCTGACGCCTGACATGGATTCAGTCTCCCCCACCTGCCGGGCAGAGTCTCCTGTCGGGACACTCTGCCAGAAGACGCCAGAGGAGGCGAGCTCTCCAGCGTCCTCCACAGAGAGCAATGCAAAGGTATGAATGGCTTTGTTGATCATTTATTTAACACGCTACCCAGGAGGCACCCCGTTTAAAACAGATTAAAGATCACCATTCTCTCTCTCTCTCTCTCTCTCTCTCTCTCCCCCTCTTTTTTTTTTAAAGTGAGCCACAGACTGGATGCTCAAATGCTTTCATCTCTGTGGTGGGGGGAGGGGGAACTGATTGATAAGATTTAAATTAACTGGATGCGGTTAATTTTAAAGCATCATATTTATATATACATATATGCCTATAAGACGTGAGACATCGGAAATCTGTGCATGTGGAAATGTGACAAAATAGCCCTGTAGGTCGGTTGTTATGATTCCGACGTCCTGGGACCAAAATGCAAGCGTGTCGATGCAGCGGTTCATTGAGAAAAATAAATCCATTCAGGAGACTCCACAGCATCTCTGCGTCAGTGTTGACGTCAGAAACAATGATAAAGTCAAATATTGATCTGGGAGAAGGCTATTTCTGGTCGGGTATATTTCAGGAAGAGACACCACATGCAGGGTGTCCTCTGTTTTAGACTATAAACAAATGATTAAGAGGCTTTTATTGATTTTCAGCATCACAATCAGAGCCACGTGAAACCTCTGGTATAAATGAATAAATGTAACTGTAGTCCTCATTGTCAGTACTATCTCTGCTTTTTCAGGAGGTCTGCCAAGACATGAGCACTGAAGACACTCCATTTGTTCCAACGGTTACAGCAATTTCCTCTACCCCAGATTTCCAGTGGATGGTCCAGCCTACGATTATTACATCTGTCTCCCCGTCTCTGGGTAGCAAGCAAGCCAATGAACCGCGAAGCTCTCACCAGGCAACACCCAAAGCGGGCGGGAGTAAGGGAAAAAATGCTGCCAGAAAGGGGAAAACAGAGCAGGTAGGTTAGCTCCGATGAAGTCTACCTGCTATTGGACAGAACAGTCAGTAGTGTCAATTTGCATATGCCAATCTGAATTCCTTGTGTGCAGCCGAGCTATTGTGCATGCTCCTCTGGTGCCATGTGCGGGCTGTGTGCCTTCCTTAGGCAGTCAATTTATATTCAGGTCACAGCAAGTCTGCAACAATAGTCTATTTTTAGACGCATTGCAGTGAAACATGCTTTTGCCACTCTTCAGAGGGCGAACTGGGAGCGGGTGTTGTGGATTAGGGGAAGAAATGGCTGGATTCTTCGTGGTAATGACTGAATTATTTCCCTTACATCCCAGCTGTCTCCTGAGGAGGAGGAGAAGAAGAGGATAAGAAGGGAGAGGAATAAAATGGCTGCAGCAAAGTGTCGCAACAGAAGGAGGGAGCTCACAGATACACTGCAAGCTGTAAGTAAACAGTGATTAATTTGCTCAGCTGTCATTTACACCTACTGCGGTGTGTTTTGCTTTTTGTTTGTTTGTTTGATTTTCCACATGGATGATTTTTTGGTGTCGATCTGTTTAAAGGAGACAGACAAGCTGGAGGAGGAAAAGGCTGCCCTGGAGACCGAAATAGCCAACCTAATCAAAGAGAAAGAACGGCTCGAATTTATTCTTGTTACACATAAGCCGGTGTGCCAGGTGTCAGAAGAGCTTGAATCCATTTTCCAAGAGTCCACAGGGTCTCCAGGCCTACCGCCCAGTCCAGACGAGGACAGGCTTCCAGAGGATGGCACGCAAGAAGCTCCATCACTCCAAGACATGGACGACCCCAGCGATCCGTCCACAGCCATCTCTGGGAACTCGAATATTTTGCTGTGTGCAAGTGCTGAAATCAACATCTGTGATCTCGAGCCCTCCCTGGACCTTAAGGAGGGGCTACTGGACAATATTTTACCCACACTGGAGGAGAAGACTCCCATGGAGACAGCTCGATCCGTGCCAGACATAGATCTCAGTAGCTCTCTCGGGGTCTCGGACTGGGAGACTCTGTATAAGTCGGTTTCCAGCGACCTGGAGCCTCTCAGCACTCCCGTGGTCACCTCCACCCCTACCTGCAGCAGCTACCTGTCTGTGTTCACATTTGCGTGCCCTGAGCTGGACTCTCTCACAGAGGGACTAGACAGCCACAAAGGTGGAGGAAGCAAGGGCGATTCTGTCGACATCCTCAACTCTCCGACTCTCCTAGCCTTATAAAATGCAAAGAGGCGCTGATCTGTTTGATCTCTTTCTGGTCTCTCTGTTTGCAGGTTCCCGACGTTGAAATGAAATGAACAACGTATGCTGTAATGCTTCAAGGAACACATTCATGAAAAGTCTTGTACATGACTAAGCAAACATATAAACTCTCTTCAGATACATAGTCAACAGAGTGATGTAGCTAAAAGCATGGCTTTTAATTTAACCGAAAGGACTGAAGTAAGTTTTGATTTTAAACGCATGCTGAAAAATTCCAAATAATTTTCAAAGCTCATATCTGATCTGTTACTAGATCTAAGCTGTAACGTGGAATTTAATGTAACAGTATGGTTTTGTGTTTTTTGGTGTCAGTAGTGTACTGATTGATGTAAATGTCTTTACATATCCATCTAAGTACCTGCGTACCTCATCAAGTGTGGTTTGACCTCATTGTTAAAATGTTGAAAGTTTTCCATGAAAACATTCAGTGCTATATACTATTATATATATAGATATATATATATATATATTATCAAGATGTAACTTATGATTTATTTTTTTACCTTTCAGACTTTGACTTATTTGTTTAAATTTAAAAAACAAACAAACAAGTAAAATGGGCATATATTGCTTAACTATGCTGCTGAATAACTACAATAAATCTGCGTTCACAGTGGTGCTCGGTGCTGATCACTTTGTGGACTTTGAATTATGAGGGGGTTTTTCCTCCAAAGAAACTTAAAGTAAAATTCCTTTTTAAAATATTTCAAATACAAATATTTTTATTTTATTTGTAGTACCCTTTAGATATTTGCTGTTGAAGAAGAGGAGGTGGGAGTTCACTGTTTTTCCAGCGCAGGCCTGCATCTGAGTCGTATTATTGTGGTTGCAGCGGCAGCAGCAGTATGCAGCCTCCCTGTTTCTTTATGGGAGGAGCGGTGCGACTTCCCCACTTCTGCCCCCACTATGTAGGCTACTTTTTTTTTCTAACATCCCTGCTTACGTTTGACTGGCATAGCCTAATTTCCGCATTCCCAAATCCTCCCAGATTGGGATCACGTTTAAAATCGGGCTGATGCAACGATTTCCACTTTTTAAAATATACTCTCGACCCTCGGCTGACCAGAAGAAAGGACATTTGTTGCACCTGGGATCAAAGTCAGGTCGGTATACAAAACTTCAGAAGTCGAGAGCTGCATATTTAATTTATTTATTTATTTTTTATTTTTGGTACATGCTGAATAGCTTATTGGCGCGCCACACATAGGTCATAACGAGCATAGTTTGCGAAGAGGCAGCGGGCAGGTCTGATGTTTTCGATTATACGGTGCGATCGATGCATTCTCTGAATTTCTCTGTCAAAGCAAACCTGACATCTTTAGTGATCGTGCTGCAGAAAGGTCATTTTCTTTTGTTTGCATGCTCCCTTTTCATGAATCACGGCGTGCACAATTCAGAACAAAATGTTCTTGTTTTGTCTAGTCCGCCGTTTACATTAGTGCCTCGCACTGATTCTCAAAATACGGGTTACCCGAGCGGCTGTGGACGGAAAGCTGTAACATTTTATCACTGCAGGTCTCTGATGGAAACACAAAGTTACGTAAGATGGGCTTAATGCCGCACTGTAGGAAAAAAAAACTTCCGCTTTCAAGTTGACCAATTCAGCTACACCACTATATAACTGGTCAAGCGATTACATTGTTAAACGGCTCTAAATGTGCTTTCATGCATAGCCTGGGGGTTTCAGCATTGTAAACAAATAGTCTGGTGATAATACACCATGACCAAGCGAGTTGTTTCTATGGGACATTCAGGATTAGCCATTAATAAAGTGACTATTAGTAGAGAAAGTTTAAAACCACCTTCGGGGCCCCTGCATCAACATTCAGATGGCAGTCACTGGCTCATAATGTGTGTTTGGGGTTTTATTATGAGGATAGAAAAAATGATAAGCAAAAGTTACATTTGGCTTTAAGTGTTTTTGCTTTCATTTCAAGCTAAACTGCTCACACATTATTTCTCCGTTTTATCATGGCTGTTATGCTTTAATTGCAAGCAGAGTGTTACCGGTATGTTGTTTATGACCTCTCTACTTCCTCTTGGTCTTTATGACCTGAACTTTGAGGAAGTTGCAAAACTAAAAGTTATTCCCATGTGAGATTATTATGTAGCCTGTGAGTTCATGTTCTGAGGAGAGCCACTGACCCTCCTCTTTAATAAACATCTACACAAAGAACACAAAGCCAGATTGCTGTTTCTTGTGGTTATATATTTTAATTAGAATTTGCCTTGGTTGTTTTTGTGATGTGGGATAAAGGTACATCAGAAGTTTTTTGGGGGGATTTCATGTGACTTGGACATCCGCTGAGCTGCTGTAGTAACTTCCTGTATGTTGGGTGGCTCTCCCCGTCTTTGTATATGCTGAAGTGTCCTTGTCTACATATTTGCCTGTGCAAAACTGTGGTAATGTGTTCACACAGTGTCGCATTAACTTTGTTTTTCAGCTAAAGAAAGCAAACGATTTTCTTAAACGTTACTGCATTATGCTATATTTTGGCTGCATAATTTCACGTCTTTATCCTCAATTTTGGCTCTCCCCCCTCGATATGTCTCATATTCAGGAAATCACAGTCACCCTGTAACTATTTCTTGGCAACTGCTACCTTTAGCGCCCCTTGGAATAAAGTAGAATTTGTTTGAGTCTAGTCTTTGCAGTGTTGTTCACCTCTCTTTTTGGCCTTGTGGCATTAGATGATGTACGTTCTTGCCATGATCCCTGAAGTGTTAGAAACTGTTTTTTAGAAAATATTGCAAAATTGAATAAAAACAACATCAGTCCACCTTTTGCAAATGATTCATTGAAGCCCTCTAACAGATGGTACATAATGCACTTATATTTGTTATCAACTCATAAATGTAAAGCATTCCTGTAATGTATTCAGTTTTTTATGTGTTTTCCTTAATCTGACTTGGTTTGTTGTCTGAGTATATCTCCCGTTTTCTCCCTCTCCCGCCTAGCTGTGGTCACGACCGAGTCTGACACGATGCCAGGACAAATCCCAGATCCCTCTGTCACAGCGGGCTCCCTGCCCAGCCTGGGCCCACTGGCTGGGATCACAGCCACCACGCTGACTGACAAGCTCAAATTTGGCGACCTCCAGGAGTTTGGGACAATGCTATCACCTCTGCATTTCCTGGATAGTCTGGGGAAGAGGCCTCTAATAATCAAAACTGAGGTATAGGACACACTAAGCAGTTGATAACCGTTATCCTTTAAACTAAGGCCACGTTTTAAGTTTTTACTCAGCTTACATGTTCTTTTTAAAAGTTCATTTCTAAAAAGTGGCTCCAAGGTGTGCTTTTAATGTATCTGCTGTTAAAAAAGGGCATGGAAATTGTCTGCTAACTGTGTTTAAAATCTCGCTTCTGTATCCTAAAGAAATATGTTTGCTGTTTATATTTTATTCAACAGGACCATCTAGTGGACACAAAGGGACATGTAGTTTATAGAGCAGGTAGATTAGTAATAGTGGCAGAAGTACAGGTCGTTTTTTTAATGCTGTCCCAAAGTAGTGTTTACAAATAGAGTTAAAAACAACAACACCCTACATATATAAAACAATGAGAAGAAATGGCTTTTTATATGAACTTTCCCGCTGTGTCAGATGTCCGTGAGAAATCACGTCCTCCATACACTTGCACAGGTTTTCTTGGGGAGATTTGACTTCTCCTGCCTGCCTTAAAAAAACATGTCGGGTTCATTAATTACCTGGCGTTCAAGGATGCTTAGGCATGCCAGACTGTGCCAGATTAAAAATGCTTTTTTTCTATTTTTATGCATACCATGACTGAAACAGAAGGACTTGCAGGCTAATGTAGAGGGAAAAACAAACCAAAAAGTCTTTAGTTTGGGGAAATGTCACTTTGACTTGTTTACAGTGATAGCAAAGAAGAGCCCAGTAGGTTAAATACTAATTTTTTTTTCTTTTCTCTTTTTCTTCTTTCTTTCTTCTAAATACTAACATTAACACATACACATTCCCATCCTTACTCTGTTCATGGACTGCCTGCTATTGTATGGCAGATTAATTGTGCCTGAAGGTGTGTTTAAAACTCTTGTGCCTGTCTCTAGAGAGACGAGGAGGAAGAGAGGAGAAAACGAAGGCGGGAGAAAAACAAAGTGGCTGCAGCTCGCTGTCGAAACAAAAAGAAGGAGAGGACAGATTATCTACAAAAGGTAAGGCACATCTAAGGAGCCTCCTTTGCATGATTGCACACTCTCACATACTCAACTTGTGTCTCACTCTTTCCACAATTATTACTTTGTCTTCCTTCCAATCCCATGGCAGGAGTCGGAAAGGCTAGAGATGTTAAATTCCGACCTTAAAGCCCAGATCGAGGAGCTGAAGCTTGAACGACAGCAGCTGATCCTCATGCTCAACCGCCACCGCCCCACGTGTATTGTCAGGACAGACAGTGTCAAAACTCCGGAGGGTGAGGTGAGCCCCCTGCTGCAGCAGCTGGAGGCCAAGTGAAGGTTGTAGTGCGAGTTCCTACAGTTTACGATTGGGAAGAAGCAACAAACTAGCAGCACTTACGTTTGGGGCCTCGGTCGTGGAGGAGAACCAGCCACTGAGCGCTACACCACAAAATGTGGATCCACTGTGCTTAGACACTGTTTTGGCAGTTAAATCAATCTTCTTTCATAGTCTTTGTTTTGTTTTGTTTTTGTTTTTTATTGTTCCTTCTTGCTTTTTCATTTATTCTTCATTTTCGTCTTCACAGGTCCAGCCACAATTAGTGTGAAAGTAAAGAAAAAAACACAGCACAACTTTTGGTAGAATTACAAGCCACACACGAGGCATTACTTTGATATATTTCCAGTAATTACACCTGTGTTTTAATGCTTTTTGTTTTGTTTTTTTGTAGTTAACCCTAAAACAGAACTGCATTCGATCAGTCAGCTGCACAGATGATTATTTGTTGCTGTGTGGGATGAAACTAAGTCACTGTTTCCATGCAGGGCAGAGGCGATACCCCAAAGAGACAGTGTTTGTAAGTTATCAGGCTACAAATAGACATCTTTGCAGCATGATGTGACCTTGACTGCCCTTCAATTGTTAAAATACATGCAGGGAATTGTAGAAATATCATTGAAATCTGTGGGGAAATAGTTATATATGTATAGAAAAATAACTACTGGAATACATTAACCATCACATACAGATGATTTTTTTTATTTCTGTATAAACCCACAGTCAAAGAAGCCTTTGTATCGCATAAATAACCTCAAGCATTTTTCATTTGTTGCCACAGCAGCTGAACATTTTTTCTTTATTCCATTGTTTTTTGGCGCAGGCGTCATGTATGCACATATATATATATACACAAGTGTTTACATTGTACTTTATTTTCTGTTACCATATTGTTACTAGCAATTATGTTTATGTTTTTATTCTTTTGTATATGGTGTTATATAAGCATATAAGCTATCACAAAATCCCATTTTGTATTTCCTTAAGAAATAAATGTCTAGTTTCTTTTTTTAAAATTATTGAATAATATTTTTTTGAGTCTTGCAAAATGGAAGACGTTTTATAATAATATTTTGTGCACAAAAAAAAAAGTTTCAGGAGCAAAGTTTCTGGTAAACCCTGACATCTTGTGGTGAGCTGCAGCACAGTTCATTAACCTTCCTGCTTTATTAAGTGTGCCTATGCCAAGAGGCACACTTAATTATCTTTAAACTACTTAAAATGTATTAACTATAATATATCGCTCCATACCTCTCCACCTTTTTTAGTCGTGATGGATTCTTTGTAGGTCCAGTAGTAACTAATGTGCAATAATAATAAAATACTACTTTAGATTAAATGTGGACCATCGTTTGGTTTAGACATGTAAATCATTTTTTCAATTATTGAAATAAGAAAAACACCAAATTCTCAGCATGCACGAACAAATAAGCACAAAGACGCCCGTTGTTGTTATCAGAGGGGATTTAACACGCAGATTAAAACCGCAGTGGCTGAGGCAAAAGGAACTAAAGCTTCAGGAGAGAAGTAGGCTGACAGCAACGTTACTGTAAGTTAGCTGAGCTCCGAGTGGGTATTTTTTGCGGCATAGTGATAATTTGCTGTGTTGCAACAGGGGATGAAGTCGAAACATGCAGCAGTACTGACATGAGCAGCTCAGACAGAATGCACTGTGTCGTCTTCAGAGGTTATCTCTGCTCTGTCATGTTGAGGGTTTCTCTCAGAGCTCCCGAGGAACAGCCACTGTCATTTCTTATCTCAACAGCTGGGTGGAGTAAAAGTCGCTGTCAACACGTTCTTCAAAGGGAATTTCTCAGAAAGCTCAAGTGTATATACTCAGGAGCCGGTTAGACATCTCAATTAAAGGCTGATCAGTCTAAAGGGGTTCGAGGCACAGAGGAAGTCCGACAGCTGAATGGTTTTTGGCAGTGTCACGTGGAACGAAAGTGATACTTGGGTTTTTTCCCTCCTATTTTCGTTTTTTTCTTTTCTTTTTTAAAGGACATCTTAAGTAGGTTAGTGTCGCGGTGGCTGTGCTTCAGTTCAGTTCAGTTCATTTCTGGAGCAGATAATGGGGGACAGGTGCGCTCCGGATACGACGGAGAATGGTCCACACATGGGAGTAATAGGTCCAGCTGCCGCGGACCCCATTGAACACAGCGGGATCATAAACAGGGAGAGCGACTTGGGGGTCACTACGCGTCTATACAAGAGGCGATGGATGATAGTGTTCCTCTTCAGCTCTTACTCTCTGATCAACGCTTACCAATGGATCCAATACGCGATCATCAGCAACATAATTATGAAGTTCTACAAGGTGGAAGCCTTCGCGGTGGACTGGCTGTCTATGGTCTACATGCTCACATACATCCCCTTCATTTTCCCAGTCACCTGGCTCCTGGATATTAGGGGACTGCGGGTCACAGCGCTGATTGCGAATGCGCTCAACTGCGCCGGGACATGGATAAAGGTGGCCAGTGCCAAACCGAGCCTATTCTGGGTCACCATGCTTGGACAGTTTATGAGTTCCTTTGCCCAGGTTTTCATCCTCGGGATGCCCTCCCGCCTGGCGTCGGTGTGGTTCGGAGCGAATGAGGTTTCCACCGCCTGCTCCATTGGAGTTTTTGGCAACCAGGTGAGTTAACACAGGGAGTCTGTTAAACAGACCTCAATTTCTGTTTGTTGCGTAAAACCCATGAAAAATAATGCCTAATATCTGGTACATTTATAGACATTAGTAACTTGGAGTAGACTGGCTCAATGAACATCTTAGAGTGGAATCAATTTAAATATTTCCATTTGGGCCCAGCTGACTTAATCTTATCCTTCCAACTTTATAGAACAATAAGTTATGGATTTAATCAAATGCAAATGTTAGGCTGTATAAAACTAGACGTTTTGATAAAACTTGTAAATAATGATAGAAATGTGCCAATAATGACATTCTGCTTCTTTGGCTATGTTTTTCCTGGTGCCTGGCTCCTGTTGTTTTTTTGTTTTTGTTTTTTTGTTGTTGTTGTTGTTGTTGTTGTTTTTTTTTGGGGGGGGGGCATTAATTTGCGCTGTGATAAATATCAGGTGTGTTTTCTTCACTTTCTGCAAGCAGTGAACTGTGGGTTTTGGGGGGTCCCTCTGTGTCACCTGGTACACTTCTTTGTCCACCAGGCAAAGAGGCCCTGACTAAATCTGATCTGTAAAAACTGAAGGAATTTGTTTTTGATTGTTCGAAAACAGTGTGAGTGATGGATACACCCACTACACCAGTTATATTTAAGCTGCACCGTCAATATCAATGAATTGCCATTGCAGTGGTTATTTCTATTTGGGCGTGTTGTCCTTAATTGGTAAACCAAATAGGGGAGACTGGGTATATTTGTAAAATTAAGAGAGTTGTAGCACCGCCAATCCCACCAATCAGAGATGAGATAGGACTCATATGGTCACTTCAGTGTCTACCCACTTCCATTCCTGATTTCATATGATGATTGACATGGCAGGAAACAACTGCGTGTAGATTTTATTGGGGGGGAGAGTACAAAAGTAATTGTTTTGACCAGCACTAAACTTTGTTTATTATCCAAATCCCAAAACCAAATTCAGTGTATTTATGTAGCACATTTAAAAACAGAAAGTTTGCCCAAAGTGCTGTACGGAAACAAAAGGATAAAACACAGGATAAAACCACTGCACTCACATAAAAACATAATAATACACATGATAAACATATCAACTCACACCAGTCTGAACGCTATTGAAAAAAGAAGATCCCTGTTTAATATTTAAAGGCAGCGTATTCCAAAGTTTGGGGGCCATAATTGAAAAGGCTCGTTCTCCTCTACGTTTTAGCCTAGATTGATTTTGGGACAACCAACAGCAGCTGGTCAGCTGATCTGAGGGTCCGCAAAGGAATCTAAGGCTGAAGTAACTCAGAAAGGTATGGGGGAGCAAGACCATTAAGGCATTTATAAATCAGCGCTTTGAAATCAATTCTGTCATGAACAGGAAGCCAATGAAGAGAAGACAGGATTGGTGCCTGTGGGTACCAGTCAAGAGGCGGGCAGCAGCATTTTGAACGAGCTGAAGACGTGCAACAGATCCTTGGCTGACTCCAACATAAAGTGCATTACAGTAGTCAAGCCGAGTTGAAATATAGGCATGTATTACCTTCTCCATGTCACGTCTTGACAAAACTGGCTTCAGCTTAGCTATTTGCCTCAACTGGAAAAAGCTTTTTTGCAACACAGAACTAATATGTTTGTCCAATTTTAAAATCTTAGTCCATAATGACTCCCAAATTTGTCACATGCTATTTGATATAACACCCTAGCCAACCACAATTCCCAAGCGGGTTGCATGAAATATTATTGGGTCTAAATACAATCACCTCCGTTTTACTCTCATTGAAACTCAAAAAGTTCAGAGCCATCCAAGCTTTGACATCTTCAAGGTAGTTCAAAAAAATTGGATGGAGCCTGGGCCATTTGGTGCTAAAGGCAAATACATTTGGCAGTCGTCTGCGTAGCAGTGAAAGGATATTTTGTGTTTTCTGAAAATAGACCCCAAAGGGAGCAGAAAACAAATGTCGGCATTTTATGTAAAAGTCTGAAAACTAGTGCAAAAATTAATTGAGTTACAGATGCTAAAGCAAACAGCCAGTCTCCCCTACATATGTTTGCAAACATGTGAAATGACACTATGCACACAGGATGTTTAACCGGTTCTTTTAAGATGATCTGCCCGCTCTGTGGCTACATCTCCACTGAATTTTATTCTTGTTTGCTTTGCACAAGCTGATGATCACTTCACATCCTTACAAGTCACTTAATACAAGTCCTGTACCCAGAATCCATGCAAGCTACAGAGAACTAGTTTACTTACTGATATACAGGATAGTGTTTTCATGTGTGACAGTAACACAGACCCACCAATGTTTAAGTACATTTTTACAGTGTAGTTTGAGGGATTTGTGAAGAAAAATGATCAGTTCTATTCAATTCAGTTTTATTTATATAGCGCCAAATCACAACAAAAGTCGCCTCAAGTCGCCTTCTGAAGAGTATAATATAAAAAAAGAATTCTAAACTTAAATAGTAAACTTTTCACTGCACTCGATGCAGCCTTGTCAAAATCGGAGTACACCCGATGATGAAATAGTTTATAGAACCACCTTTAGCAGTGACAGGTTGATGTAATCAGTTGCTATGGAATTTTATCAGTCTCGTATCACTCTGAAGGAATTTCCACTCTTTTTTACAGCATTGCTTCAGTTCATTGGGGTTGAGGACATTCATTTCTGCAAGGTCCCACGATCAGACTGAGGTCTGGACTTTAACTGGGTCATTGCAACACCTTGATTCTTAAAATTTTCTGCTATTTTGTTGTGAATTTGCTGCTGTGCTTATTTTGGGATGATTGTCTTGTTTCATAAATCAATTTTGGCCAAGCTTTCAGTCAGACAAATGGTCTCACGTTTGCATACTTTAGCATAGAGAGTGGTTCATAGTTGACTCATTGACTGCAAGTGCAAAGTCCTGTGCCAGCAAAACAAGCCTGAATCAACAACCTGCCACCACTGAACTTGACAGTTGCTATAAGGTGTTTGTGCTGTTGTGCTATGTTTGGTTTACACTGCGCATCACAGTCAAATAGCTCCAATTTTGGCTTGTCTGTCCAAAAGATATTATTCCAGTAATTTTGTGGTTTGTTCAAATGCAACATTTGGAAAAGTACATGTTGTCTGTTAGGAGTGCTCCCTTAAATGTTGCGTCATTAGAAAGCCTTGCTTGTGCTCTTGACAGTAGGATTCATATAGATTGCATAAATTGTACTTAACGTAGAGATTATGGTCACCTCAGAGGACAAGGATGAATTGCTAGGAGGATAGAAATATATATTTTTTAAAATCCCCCCCGAGCGTGAGATTTGACAGGTGGGGCAACTGTAAAGTCAGGTTTCCAATTAGAGGTAACGAGATAAGAGATAACTCTTTATTGTCATTCCTCAGTCTAGTACAATAGTACAACAAAATTGGAAACTGTCCCACTCGGCATTACGCACAACACAACAACACAACACAACAAAAACAAGACAACACAGTAACTTAACTTAATAAATAAAAAGAAATAAAAAGAATGAGTCTATGTTTTTATTTCACATTGTTGTTATTATTATTATTATTATTATGTTATTGGCCCCCCAAAAAGTCCAGGGAGGTAGCCAATCAGGTCAACTGTTAGCACTGATTAGGGCTATTGCCCTGTTGTAAAAGCTGTCCTTGAGTCTGTTTGTCCGCGACCTCAGCAGCCCGAATCTCCTGCCCGACGGCAGCAGCTTAAACACCCTGCAGATGCTGCGTGCCCTCTTGAGACAGCGAATGCTGTGCAGGTCCTTCAGATAAGGGTGAGGATGTCCAGTGATTTTTGGGCCATATTAATGACCGTCTGAAGTGCCTTTTTGTGTGCCATGGTGCAGCTGAAGAACCTTACACAGATGCAGTATGTCAACAGACTTTCAGTGGAGCAGCGGTAGAAGGCGATTAGCAGCTCCTTCTTCAGGTCCATTTTTCTGACGGTTCTCAGAATATGGAGACATTGTTGGGCCTTCTTTAAAACCGCCGAGGTGTTTGAGCTCCATTGGAGGTCTGTGTCTATGTGCACACCCAGGAACTTAAAACTGGAGACCCTTTCCACACGCTCCCTGTTGATGCTGACAGGCTGCAGCTCAGACTTCCTCCTTCTGAAGTCGACTACCAGCTCTTTTGTCTTGGTGGTATTGAGGTCCAGGTTGTTGTCTGCACACCAATCCGACACCCTCTCAGACAATGGTGTCTTCAGTTGATCTAATAGCTCTGTATGTGAACTGGAGCGGGACATTAGTTTTTATTTTTATTTCACTTAGACTTTTGTTTCAGTTTAGTTTCTGTTAGTTTCCAGAGTGGACTTCCTCATTTCAGTTTAGGTTTGTTTTTTTAATGATTAATATTAGTTTGCATTAGTTTCAGTGTTGGTTTTTCTGTGTTGTAGACATCAAAGCTACATCAAGAAAGTTGTAATAAAACATTTACCTAACGTAAAAACGATTTTGTTAGATTTAGCCAATTAAAAAAATGTGTCAGGTTTAGAAAAATATCACCGCTTGTGCTGAAATCCAACCCTTTGCTGTTTTCTTGGTTGCCCCGCTTGCCTGGACAAATGTATACTTCCTGTTGAAATACGTAAGTCACAAAGTTGTGCTGCTTGTCACGAAAAACACTTGAAGCTCCCTACCCACGAACACAAACGCCAACTATTTCATGTTTGTTTGCTCGGAGACCGGGCTGCTTTTGAACGAGGCATCCAAATGGGAAATGAAGTGACCACTGTCGCCATCTTTTTTTTTTTCTTTTTTTTTT